TGGAAGGCTACACACTTCCTTATTGATGTTGGGTAGGGAGGAACCCCTTTATCCACCCTCTTAGGTTCAGTGCCTGGGAGCCTGTAAACTAAACTGACAAAAGATAGCAAGATACAAAAACCATTTCTTTGCTGGTGGGATGCATGCACACACAAGAGTGCTCTGTGCTGAGGTTTGGAAATTACACCTATGTCAGACATAACCTAGTAGGGGGAATGGAGTGGGAAGAAAAGGCCTCCAGGGGAGGAACAGATAGGTTTCTTTGGGAAATACAAATGGTTTTTTTTTTTTTTTTTTTTTTTAAGTACCAAGGATCTTTATTCTTAGGTCTGATATTCAATCTGTGGCTGCAGATAATTCATCACTATGTAGAGAATAAAAGGTCCCATTATCTTCATTCAAGTCTTCAGCCACAAAGTTACACCTTATTCTCATACAAGATAAGGGTTGGTAGGGGATTAAGGAGGTACAGAGGAGAAAAGCAAAAGGGAACAAACACTTTTACAAGCATATCGTCCCAGTTACTGTGAAGGTTACGTTTCAGGTTAATTTACAAAAGTAGTGACAGAACCATGATTTCAGTGAAAATCAACACGTTATACCTTTTAAAAAACCAATTCAGAAATACTAAGTCAGGCAAGCATGCAAAATTCAGAGTATAAAAAAATGCAAGGGCTGGCGGCCCAAACAGGTATTTCCCTCAGAAAGAGGGATTTGAAAATGCTGCTCAGAACCAAAGGAATTAGAAGCTGAATTAGCAGACCCATTTCCTCAGTTTATATATGAGGCAAGTGGGCAGACATTAACTGGTAAAGCTTACTCAGCCAGATTAAGAATATATAGACATCTAATTCCTGGTGCTATCTGCAACTACATGTATCTAAAATACAAGGAGATAAATATTCAGAACACATCAAACCCACTGATTTAAAGAAAACATTCAAGGGTGGGGGTGAAGTTGTTATTATAGCATAGGAGCACATTACACATATTTAAGAGATTAAATGGAAAGAAATAATCTCTTATTTTAATGCTCAGTTTTGATCACAAGTTTCCAGCCAACTTTCTGATGTAGAGCAAAACAAGTATATTCTTCAGTTTTCTTCTACACTTTTTTGGGCCTATCTTTCAAAACTGAGCACTGGGTATTTTTAATGTAAGTAATGGGATGTTATATGTACATTCTAATTACACATTTTAGGAATAAACAAAATGCATATTTCAGTAATTCATAGTGTATTTATAAAATGAAAAGCTCTCTATCAAAATACACTTTTCACTGGGAAAAATAAATAAAACAGACAAATGGATCTACACAAAGTAAAAATTAACTTTGGTAGACTTCACTGTGGAGGACAGTCCATAACAAGCTTATCTGCCCTTACTCCCCCAGAGCTGATCATCTTCCGAGTTAAGATTTTAAAAATATGTTTTAATTGATATCATTATGTTGATATTTGTTTCTCATTCCACATCATCTTCAGCCAAGCTCTGAGCACTTACAATTCTCTGACCAACTGTTGGGAGCTTAGTCAGAAGCATCTGGAACACTGGTGGTGGAAGAGTTTGTTGCAACACTTGCAGTAACTGCTGTGGCTGTCCACACACAGCAATTGCATTTGTCAGATGGTCCACACCCTTCTCATATTCACCTTGAGCTAGTAATTCTTCACCAAGCTGTATTTCTTCTAGAAAGAATTTCTGAACGGCTTCAGCATCTTTAAGGTCAGGTAACTTGGAAAGCCCAGCTCTCTCCTTGGCAAGCTTTTGTTTCTTTCTTCGTTCTCGCAGCCTGTTCTTGAAGTTGGGGTCACTCCGTCTCTTGCGGTCGAAATAAATGCAGTAGCCGATGAAAAGGGCCCCGCACACGCCGGCGGCGATGGCGCTGTTCCGGCCCACCATCGTCTCTCCACCGAAGAGCCGGGTCGGCTGCGGCGGGGCCCGCAAATAAGCCGTTGACCGCGAAGCCTCGGATCCGAGTGCGCGGCTGAGCCCCGACGCCCGCCGTGAGGGACGCGGAAAGCCAAATGGGTTTTTAAGAGAAAAACTGGGAGATAAGAAAGTTCTGGATAGTTTATGCAGGCAGGAGTGGTCTTTCTTCTTCAAGGCCATGGAACTTCTCCAGGAGGAGATTTATGGTAGGTTTACCCCTGGGATTTATGCCCCAAAGAGGGGGTTTATGATGATCCTTGTTTCTCTGAAGTTTCTGCTTTGAGTTCGAAAACGGAATCTCCGAGAAAGCTTCTTTCTGCATCTGTTGAATGGTGAGCCATCTTCCTCTTCAGATAGACTTTCTGTGCACTGTGGGGCCTACAAGGGTCCCTGCGTGGCCGTCAGGGAGCCGGTCCCTCTGAGGTCCTCTCCCTTCCTGTCCTGTTTCAGAGTGTGCGTCTGACACCCATGTCAGCTCAGCACTCCCTCCCCCAGCGGATTCGTCTGTCACGCCCAGATTTCTCTGGAACCTTGGTAATGCAGCCACGCGGTGGGAGAAAGAGGAAGAAGTCTCGAGAAAGCAGAAGTGTAGCCAGCACTCCTCTCTGAGGACCATCTGACCCGAGGGTCTGCTCTCCCCCCGTGTCCTCCTGCGGCTCTCTCCTCCCCATCTTTTTCATCATCCTTGGGCCTCATCACTTCCCCCCTCCCCCCGTGACCTTTCCCTCGTTCCCCGCTTCCTTCCAGGAGTGTTACTTGTGTCTGCTGCGGCTTGGCTGACGGTCCCATTCAACATTTCCCCCTTTTTCTTCAGAGAACTTGTCGTATGTGCTTCAGAAACCTCATCTTAAGGTTTACTGCAGCCTTGCTGGGCACTGAATAAACTCCCGCGGCGATGTGTTGTCCCTCTGGGTTCACACTGTGGGATAAAGGGAGAGACGCTGGCCCTTGCTTTTGAGCTGCGGCCACCTGCCCCGCCTAGAGAAGAATGTCACTGGCATATAGTTGTTGAGCCTTCAGAAGGACAGAAAAGGAAAAACAAGTTGACATTAACTCAAAAGCAGCTTATCTCTCCCACTGTTCTTAGTGAACCAGATCTAGGTTTTGAGCATGAAATGCCTAATTCACAAATTGCAGCAGTGGCGTTCTCATATTATACTTTCCTTTGTACAAATTGCCTGTGGTTCCTGCTGTGTTTTGAGGCTGAGTGTTGGAGACCGGCCCGCCACTCGACTGAAGATGGTTCAGTTTGATTTTTCAGCTTTACGATGTTGTGAAAGTGACACGCGTTCAGCTGAAACTGTACTTGGACGTGAGCCTGTTGATCTTCCCCAGGCTTCTGTGCTGCCCGGTCGTCTGGGGTGGTGGGCGGAGGCCATGGTCCCCCGTCAGCCACGAGACCACGAGGGTGGACAACCCACACTCTTCCAACTGTCCCGGACACAGACAGCCCTTCTGTTTTTCACTTCTGTTGTCAGTTAATTACACATGATATTCAACACTTTATCATGAAATAGGCTTTATGTCAGATGGGCTTGCCCAACTGTAGGCTAATGTGAGTTTCCTGAGCACATTTATGGTGGGTAGGTGAAGCTGTGAGGTTTGATACATTAGATGTATTATTAATACATTGCATTTTCAATGTAGGATATTTTCAACATAAGATGGGTTTATTGGGATGTAACCTCTATCAGAGGAGGCTTCCCAGGTAACCCAAGTGGTATAAAGAATCTACCTACAATGCAGGAGACACAAGTTCCATCCCTGGGTCGGGAAGATCCCTGGAGACGGAAATGGCAACCCACTCCAGTATCCTTGCCTGGGGAATCCCATGGACAGAGGAGCCTGGTGGGCTACTGTCCGTGGAATCACAGAGTCGGACACGACCGAGGGATGAGCACAGCCCCCGTCGGAAGTCGAGGGAGATCTGTACGCAAGTGTGTAACAGAGCAGGTGGGCCCTGCTGATGTAGAAACTGACAAGGCTGGCCTCCCTGGTGCTTCTTTCTCTCCGGCAGTTTGTCCTAAAACTAACACGACTGTTCCCAGCCAGAGTTACCACTCCGTGCCTCTTTCCTGGAAAATCAATTATCGTTCAGGATTTCCACTTAACAATTAGGGAGTCCATCAAGGGCAGAGCTTAATAGGCCCAGTTGTTTTGATGGGTCCTCATTTCAGTGAACTCTCTTAAGTTTAGTGAGATGTGAATTAAATGAAGACCTGGGATCTGTTGCCAACCGAGAAATTTGTAACCATTTTGTACCAATGGTAGTTTTAAAAACTGTGTTGAAAGGTGACTCAAACCTATTTCCAAGAACTTACCTTTTCAGCCAGGGTGATTTACAGCATTGTTAATCCTAAGCATTTGAATGAGAGCTGCAGTACATATTTTTAAGACAGGAAGCCATCCAACCTGCTTTTCAGAAGATCTGGGTTCTGGTTTTACATTGGTGATTTCATGCGGTTTTTCTTGGGCAGGAGAAAGTTTTTTCTCAAGAGTCTTGAGCCATGAATGACACTGTTTGGATTCCAGAAGCATTCTGGAGGGATGTTCAGTTATGTGTACCGTGGTGAGAATGGGCTTCTCTGGCAGTTCAGATGGTAAAGAATCTGCCTATAATGCAGAAGACCCAGGTTCGATCCCTGAGTCAGGAAGATCCCCTGGAGAAGGCAATGGCTCCCCACTCCAGTATTCTTGCCTGGAGAATCCCATGGACAGAGGAGCCTGGTGGGCTGCAGTCCATGGGATCACAAAGAGTCAGACATGACGGAGTGACTTTGACTTCAGTCACTAGTATAAGGCACCGATTGGAAGCCTTTTTTTCGGGATCCTGGGTTCTCTGTGGGTGTCAGTGACCATGCGTGCGGTCACCACGAACATTGCCCACAGCACTGGGCATTTCTTAAAAACAGTTCTGTGAGCTCATAAGGAACAATGAAAGCAAATGGAAGAGAAACCACACACAGCCCACCCTGTTTAGAGAGCGAATGTGCTGCTTCGGAATCCACTGTGTGGAGTAGATCAGCCAGCCCGTGGTCTCTTTATCACCTTTCCTTCTCTGTTTCCAGGTACAGAGGCAAAACGTACCGGGCTGTGGCCAAGATCGTCCGCACATCCGACCAGGTAGCGGACTTCTGCCGCCGGGTCTGTGCCAAGCTCGAGTGCTGTCCAAATTTGTTCAGTCCTATGCTGGTTTCTGAAAACTGCCCGGAGAACTGCTCTATCCACACCAAAACCAAATACAGTAAGTGGAAAGTGAAAGGAACCGCGACCTGTGGGTCTGCACTGTAGGGTGATGCAGTTGGTGGGCTTCCAGACCTTTCAAATAGCTTTTCATAGGAATAGCTGCAGGAGAATTCTTTAAGGTTTGCTTGGTAGATACTCGTGCGTTTCTCTCCTGGTGTAAGGAATGGGAGGCGGGTGTCTCTGGTTCTTTTGGCACCACAGTCCTGGACGAGCTCCACCATGGTTCTCTCTGGGTATCAGACACTGATGTATAAATGTTTGTTCACTTAACCCATGGGTGGGTTTCTCGACGGTTTTTATAAACGCCATCTTTATGGACCTAGTTTATGGACCTAGTGGGAGGTACTGGAAATAGATAGTTTTGGTTGGTCATTTTGCATCTGAGAAAATTGCAGTCTGGAGGCTGGTGACTTTCCTCTGCCATACAGCACCTTGGAGATGTGTGGACCCCCGTCTGTCACCTGGGTGCGTTTGGTGTTTTCTTTCTGATGCCTCCAGCCGTTAGATAAAGCTTCCTTTGGTGCATTTGGTTCTTTTATGAGAGCTCCATACGGAACAGTTGAAGCTTCAGTTAATTGAAGAAGCGTTCTGGATGGTGATCATAATTGAAAACTGGATTGCAGTCGGTTTTAATTAGTTGATTAGACATTCAGCTTATAAAATGCATCAATATTATTGAAATTTGGTGAGAAATTTTCTAACACAGACATATAGCTCTGCTGTTGAATTCAGAAGTAAGGGAAGTGTCCACTGAAGGAGTAAAGAATAACAGGTAAGGAACACTATTTGAAAAGTAAAAAGATGCCCCATTAATTTGGCCTGCGTGTTCACCACCAGTTCTGAGAGGGACCACTTCTGCCCTTGATATCTGTGACCACAAGGGCATTGAAACAGAGTTCTCCCTGTGAGCCATTTTGTCAGAATTGTTTGCCGAGATGCGAATGGGATGTGAAGCTTCATCTCAATTGTTGATCTCCTCTCTCTCACTTCCCTCTCCCTCTCCTTTCATTTTCCATCTTTCCTCCCTCCCTCTTCCTCCACATAAGCCCTGGATGTAACCTTTTAACAACGATTTTAACCATCTCTCTCTAGCTTACTATTATGGGAAGAGAAGGAAGATCAGCAAGCCCCCGATTGGGGAAAGCCGCGTTGAGAGTGGACACCCTAAACAGGCCAGACGCAGGAAGCGACGAAAATCCATGTTTGTGCAGAAGAAGCGGAGATCGTCCGCTGTGGACTTGGCCACAGGCTCCGGAGAGGTACGTCTGGCTCAGATGCTGCTGACGGTCAATTGGGAAGCAGAGCTGCAGCTTCACTGCTGATACCGAGGCCGTGGTTTGATGCTGAGCGGTGGGGATCATGAGCCGGTACCCTGTCTTACCTGTAGAATAGACTTAACACTGCAGCATCTCTGGCAGACAGAGGTCCACTGGGGCCCTGGGTGGGACCCTGGGGTCCGTCTTCTGGGCCTCTTTGGACAAACCTCACGAGGAGGGCGGCGCGGGTGCCAGGCAGGGGAGGGTCTGTGGGGAGTGGCAGGCCCCCTCCTGCCTTCTCTGCTGCCTCAGTGTACCTCCCATCCCCCTAGGAGAGCGAAGAGGAGGATGCAGACGCCGTGGACGATGACTCTGGGAGTGAGGAGACTGGCTCCGAGATCCGTGATGACCAGACAGACACGTCCTCAGCCGAGGTGCCCTCCACCCGGCCCCGGAGGGCCGTGACCCTGCGGAGCAGCATGGAGGCCGAGCGCCGGGCCCCCGTGGAGAGGACGCGCAGGGCCCGGAGGGTGCCGGCCGCCCCCCAGGCCGAAGGGGCCCCCCGGAGTCCGGCCGCCAGCCAGGAGGCAGCAGAGGTGAAGCGTGGGTCGCATGGACTGGCTTGTCTGGTGCCCCCAGTGGGGACAGCTCCAGGTGCACTTGGGCCCCTAGTTTAAGATAAATCTCTAGCAGCTGCTCCCGCTGAGTTCCTGAATCGGGGCCAGAAATCCTGGTGACTCTGCATCCAATGAATGGGGCAGTGAGCCTCAGGATGGGGTTCTGGGGAAGACTTGAAAGCCACAGGGACTCTTGTCAGGGGAACAGACAGCAAGTCCTCATGGTCCCATTAAACCCTGGGCTTTCCCTCCTTAGGAGACCTTATGATGCTATAAAATGTGTAGTCGGGGCGTCAGGTCTCCACTGAACCCACGTGTCACACAGTCAGCTGGCAGGTCGCTGGCACCAGCATCAACACACGTCCGCGGGGGCAGAGCGGCCTCTCGTCCACCGGCTCCTGCCACTTCTTCACCATCAGGGATGGAGCCAGTGACGAGCTGGCCCCAGACCTCCTGAGCTTAGGAGTCACAGTCACCAACACCATGTCTTGTTTTCTTTTTTTTTATTACCTCTAAAGACGCACAAGTCTTAGAAGCAAAGTCACAGCCCAGACGAGTTGCTTAGCGCCTCCCTGGACACTGGCTGTATCTGTGTCTGCCTGGGTGCCCAGTGAGGAGGCCGCATGTGGTCCAGGAAGTCTGGATCAGCCCGCTGGGGTCAGAGAGTGTCCCACCATCTGGGAAGCAATGAAAAGACCTCTCGCTTCCCTTCCGTCTGCAGGATGTGAAGCAGGAGGAGGAGGAGAGGTTGGTTCTGGAGAGCAACCCGCTGGAGTGGTCGGTGACGGATGTGGTGAGGTTCATCAAGCTGACGGACTGCGCGCCCCTGGCCAAGATATTTCAGGAGCAGGTACGGGCTTCTGGCCTGGGTCTTCTGTGTCAGCTGGCTTCCTGGGAGTCGGCCACACCAGGGGGAAGGGCCTTGGCATTACTGGGGGCAGAGAGCAGGAAGCTCCACACGTGGTCCCACCAGCACCCCTGCGGGGTCTCTGACATCTGATGGAGATGACATCTCAGGTTTCCCTGGGTGTTCTCGGATACCCTGTGGTGGGGGAGAGGGGATGCTGGGGGGTCTTAGGTGGCCTGGCCAGGCTGGTGGTCAGTGCTCCTGGCCTTGCTTTTGCTGACGGGTGGGGGACGCCTGTCCCGCAGTCAAACAGCTGTCGTCTGAGAGGCTTCTGTCTTCCCAGCTCCATCTTCCAGGAGAGAGGGCAGAGGCTTTGCTTGGGTTGCTTCATCGGTACCCGTTGGCACTTCTGGACTGCCTGCTTGTTGAATAGTAAAGTCATAGGACTCGAGTTTGAGCAAACTCTGAGAGACAGTGGGGGACAGGGAAGCCTGCCGTGCTGCAGTCCGTGGGGTCGCAGAGAGTCCGACACGGCTGAGTGACTGAACAGCAACAATCCTAAAGTCACAGGAGGGCAGCCGACAAACAGAAGCCTGAGCTCTGGCCACCAGGTTGCTTCTGGGGTCCCACGTCCCTGGCTGGTCTTGTTCTTCTCTCCACTCCCACCAGGACTTTCACGTCTCTGGAAAAAGAGAGAAAAGTCTACTTGATCTTCCCAGAGGCAGAAGCCCCCAGGCCCCTGCATTTTACTGAACACTGCTTTCATCACTGTTCATCGGATTCAGTGTTGTTTCCTTTTCTAAATACCTGGTAATAAGGAAGGAAGTGAAAACAGAGCTGATTTGAGGAAGAGGCTAAAATACTGCTTATCCTGAGTCGTGCTTCATTAGACTTTAATCCCTGTTTATAGTAAAATGTCAGAAAGTTTTTCCCAAGTTAAGACGTCTAAAACATTCCTGACACTTGGCCACTCTTAGGATCAATAAGGCACATCTTCTCACATCACTGAGATACTCGGCCCTGTGTCCCTACTTATTTCTCTTATAGAGAGAAAAATAGGTAGAATTTAGTTGATCGCAGCCTTGTTTCTATTTAACGTCTACGTAAGGCCATTTCACCTGTCACAGTAGAAGGCCGTTGTTCGTGGGGCTGCCTGACGTCTCTGGGCACTTGCGGGAGTTTTTGTTCACTCAGACCTTCAATTACTAATTTGTTCTTTCACTTTGAGCCCAAGTGCTGCAGCTCTGATTTGATGAGGCCTCCAGGGGGTCACTTCAGGTGTTGGATGAGTTTTTAGGTGAACAAGGAGGAGCTGGGGGTTTAGCCTGTGTGAGAATTCACAGCACATGGAATCACAGCCACACGCCTTCCCTCCCCTAATTCTGAGTGGTAAATTCAGAGACTGTCATAATCACCAGGAGCTTTTACAAAAATTGCAAGTTTCCTGTTGCCAGAATATATGCTTTTTGATTCTGAAATGTTACAGCAGCTGCTTAAAAAACCTATGCTCTATAATTTCATGCTGCAAACATGTACAGTATATAGGAAACTGCCACACATCTATAAAAGCACAAAACTCATAAAATTTTGACAGTCACTCACCTTTTGTGAATCACAGTCATGCAGTAAGCAAACTGCCCAAATTGCTTCTCCTCCGTTTCTGCTCACCCTCCAGACTCTTTTATCATTTCCTTTCCCCACCTTTGGACTTTCGTGTTCATCACGGCCAGTTCTTCCCGTGCGTTCTCTTGGCGCGTGTTCAGTGAGCCCGTTCTGTGGCAGCGGGAACTGCTCTGGGTGCTGAGGATAGAGCCGGGGCAGCAAAGACCCCACACCCGGCTTGGCTCCCTGCTTTGACAGACAGTTCAGCACGAGGCTGTCCCTGGCCCCCCAGCATCTCCGGCTCTGGCGACCTTTCTCGGCTGTGCCCTGGGTGGCTCCTTGTCCGTTCTCGGGCTGCAGGAGAAAGCCCGTCTCACTCATTTTGTGTCTCCTGCATCTTCTCTGGGGGCTGACACACAACTAGTTCTAGATATATTTTGTCCGAATCTTAGCCACCCCATGGACTGTAGCGTGTGAGGCTCCTCTGTCCATGGCGGACTACTGGAGTGGGTAGCCATGCCCTCCTTCAGGGATCTTCCTGACCCAGGGATTGAACCCAGGTCTCCTGCATTGCAGGAGGATATTTTTACCAGCTGAACTACCAGGGAAGCCAAGAGGCTTATAGCACCTCCCCAAAATTATGAATTTAGGGTGGTTTTTTTTTTTTTTTTTTTTGCTTTAGACGTTTGCAGAACAGCTAAATAAGCCAGCAGTTTAAGAACAAACGCTGCCTCTGTGAAACTCCCTGACCCCTGCTGAGGTGCCTGCCTGCCTCAGTGCTGTGGCTATTGCCTCCCTGGCAGCCCCAAGGCTCCCGCTTCTCCGGGTGGCAGGGTCCCAGGGTGTCTGCTCCTGCCCACCACAACCTCTGTCGTTACCTCGGGCCTGCAGGCTCTCAGACCCTCACCCATTTCCTCCGAATGTGAAGGCTGGGTGCCCTGGAAGGGGTTGCAGTGACACTCAGTAGCCCAGTCAAACAACATCTGGATAAATAAACCCAGTTCTTATGGGGAGCAGGCTGGTCAAGGAGTAGAGCTGCCCGAGGCAGGGTCCTGAAGCCTCGGGCAGAACCTTGCTCTTCTTTCTGCAGTGACTGCGGCTCACCCACCACTGAGTGAGTCTCTCCATCATGGGGCCCCTGTGTATGGATGCAGAAAGCTAAATAAGACAGAGCTCAGGCCTCATTCTGGCTGACGCAGGTCACAGATGTAAGGGTGTGCGTGCACACATGTGTCTAAGCGCACGTGTTCTACGGAGGATCGCGTTGTGTGGTTAACGACGTCTCCGCCCTCCTGATGGGAGCTGTCATGGCCGGTCTCCTGTTGGTGGAGAGCCCTTTTCAGGGCTCAGAGAGTCACCGCAGAGCAGCGGGGAGACACCACAGCCCAGGACAGGCTGGACCTGGGGGCTGGGGGGGCTTGCCCACCACAGCCCCAAGGGCTGGAGCTTGGGGACAGCCGAGTCCAGCCCTCCGTCCCTTCCAGTCCGGGCTAGTGAATTTCACAGTAGCCAGTGTTCTTTTAGCAGAAATGTTTTCTCAACAAGGGGTTAGGCAGCCATCAGGCCAAATTGCCGTCTTGGCTCTAACCTGCTCTCTCTCCCAGCAGGACATCGACGGGCAGGCGCTCCTGTTGCTGACGCTCCCCACGGTGCAGGAGTGTATGGAGCTGAAGCTGGGCCCCGCCATCAAGCTTTGCCACCAGATTGAGCGGGTCAAGGTGGCCTTCTACACCCAGTATGCCAACTGACCCCACCCTGCTCCCAGGCTGCCTGCCGGCCCGCTGAATGCCATGTCTTGGGTCTCAGGAGGTTTCCCGGACTGGAACTTCTGTTTTCCCCAGACGTGTGTGATGGTGCATCCAACAGGTGTCCACGCGAGGGCCTCCTCCGCCCACCAGCCTGCTTGACATTTCCGCGTTTGCAGAGCACCCAAGCCCACAGCCGCGGTCCTGAGGGTGTGAGTTACCTCTCATACCCTACGGGTGTGGACCTGCATCTCTGTAGACCACACCCCATCTTTCTCCCACCCCAGACCAGGCAGCTTCCTAAGCCAAGGCCCATGCTTCAAAAACCCGGCACAGCTGATGTCTTTTCCATCGTGAGCCGGAAGGAGGTCTTCCGGTGACCTCACTGTCCTTGTACCCCAAGTGCCTCCATAGGTGCTGCTTTCAGGTCGATAACGCGTGGCTGTCACTGCAGTTTGGTCTGGTGGCGGCTCATTTCTCACGCACGGCTCTGGGCGATCTTTCGGATGACAGTTAGCGGAAAAGGGACTCTGCCTGTTAGGCAGTGAAGGGAGAAGGAGCATGTCAACAGTGGGGAGGTGGGCATCCAGGGAGCCTTCAGGGAGGAGACGTGCTTGCCATCCTATGGAAGGCGTTCCTTGCTGACCTTGGAACCTTCAAGGTCCCCCACGTTCTGAATGACCATGACCAGATGGAAGAGGGACTCCTCGCATCTTTTGGGGCATCTTGAATTGTGCATTGAAGGCAGAGCTTCATTCCGGAGAGCAAAGCCGGGGGGAGACTGGGGAAAGCTGCTGATGCTCCTCCCCTGAGAGGGGTCACTGCCCCGGGTCTCCCGGGGAGGTCCCCTCTGAGTCCCACCTTGGTCACCTCTGCAGAGGCAGAGGCACACACGCCCCTGGGTCAGCCAGTGACTGACCCCGTCATCTGGGCTGATGTTGAATCACCCTGGACCTCCTTCCAGTAAACCGACAGGTATGAATTCTTACAATGTGGCGGGGACGTGGGTCCCCTTGTCCCCAGCCTGCTCCTGCTGTTAGGGGAGAGTCTGGATTGGCCAGAATGAGACAAAGAAAGTGACCGCACCACAGCTGCAGCCCACCCTGCCTCTGGTTTACTTGGGATGTCTCTTGGCAGTTTTCATTAAGTGGGTCCCGTCATTTATAGGAAGATCCGTGGCTCCAGGAGCCAGCTGGTCTCTGGAACCAGGCACTTGTCCACATGCACCCTGCAGTCCCAAACGGACCATTGTCTTCTGGGCTGGTTGTTGCTTAAATGCCTTTTTAAACTTGTGCGCGGAAGCTGGGCCTCCACATTGCCCCGGAGAGGCGGGGGTGCACAGCCTTCTCTTCCTTTATTATTTTGACCTTTTCTCTTTGATGAGAGTGTCATCAGTTCCAGGAATAACATCCTGGGTGGGCTGATGAGCTGCTCGTATTTCTGCCACATACGGAGGCCCGATGTCCTCTCAGATCTTGAGAGGCTCAATCACGGAGGCTAACCTTTTGTCATCATCTGTCACCATTACTGATGAAAAGGGGAAACACGCACTTCGTGGTTGAGGCTGTCGTCTCCCCCGTGACTGGCCCTAAGGCAGGTTTAAACGTTTGGCGGTGGAGTTGCCCAGGCGCCTCGGCCGGGAGCCCCATCTTCTCGGCCCATGAGTACGGACAGTTCCATGGGGAGTCAGGCCTGGCCTGTGGTTTGATTTCTCTGAGCTCAAGTTTCCGCCCTTTCTCTGTTCTTCATCTCTTGTCTCCTCAGCCGCGGGCTTTTGTCCTCAACCCTCCGTCCCAGGGAGGTCAGCTCTGTCAGCTGCTTGAGAAGGGCCTCCTTGTAAGGTCTTGGGGGTTTTCCTGCCTTGGACATGCTTGTGATCCTCACTGTGGCCTTTTCTCTTCTCATTGCACGTGGGGTGCAAATGATGGGGGGCCACTCACCCTTTCAGAATGAGTGTCGCCTTCTCGTGCCCTCCCTGGATGGCTCTGGGGCGGGTTGCACTGGACCACTGTGCTCTCCGGCGCCCGTGGGTTGGGGGGTAAGCCCTGGAGCCCACCCAGAGGGCTGGAGGCCTCCCACCTGGCAGCTGAGGAAGACACCCCGCCGTCGCTGGGGCCGCGGCCTCTCCCCGAGGGGCCAGGTGCCCAGAGACCCTCGTCCTCGGTCTCTGAGGGCTCAGCCCTGTCTACCCGCGTGCCTGGTGAGGGCCCGGCCATGCCAGGCCGGGAGAGGTCCAGCTGCAGCTTGGGGCCGTCGGGGTGCCGTCAGCCTGCCCTGCTGGGAGCCGGGAGACTCTTCAGGGTCAAGAAGGTGTTTTTCGTTCCGAGCGCTGCCCACACGGAGCCCTCTGGCTCCGGCTCTCCGGGAATCCTCTGCTGGCTCTGTGCCACTTCCCATCAGCGGGACTTGAGCTGCAGAGTGTCCGGAGGCGTTCCTGTCTCTGTAGGGTTCACCGCTCACCAGCTTCCGTCTCAGAGAAACGGCCGGTTTTCAAGGAACGTTTGCCTGTCGTGACTGTGTCGTTACTGTGTTTCTGTCCCTCGTGGCGGGAAGAGTTCATCTCACACCTGTAGCCGCCAGCACACCACGGCCCCTGGGATAAACCCTTCTTGGTGGAAATGCTCCACCCAGCGATGCCCACTTCCCTCTTCATCCCCAGATGCTGCCATCTCCCCGCGGCCTCCCAGAAGACGCTTTGGGACCAGAGTCCTCTCCTCTGCGCACCACACTGCTTGGTCCCTTCAGGAACTGCCTGAGATGCAGACGCTTTTGTCTGTGCAGTGTAGCAGCTCATCTCGAAGGCTGAGTCCATCACTCAGTCCCACCCTAAAGCTAAGGATGCTTCTGTCGACCTCTGATCTCTTGACTGTTTGTGTCCTGTGTTAGGAAAATCTCTTATCCACAAAAATGTAAACCTAGAAAGAGTAAGTAAGGTATGACCCCCATTACAGAAGAACTCATTTTTTGCTTTACCAAAAAAAAAAAAAAGCAAAAACCCAGTTTCCTTCACCACAAAGTTGCATAGTATGGAGAAATCCATCACTTTTAAAATTAGGTTCATTTGATCAAAGTTTGACTCACAGTTTGCACTGTATAGCTGTTAGGTTGCTTTGCCTTATTTGATCATTTTTGAACGATGATTTCCTGTGTTTGATCTGTTTCTCAATGAATTAGAATGACTCAGACCTTTCACACTGGCCCACACGACAGTCTCTGGAAGGTTGGTTTTGATCAGCCTTTGAAGATTGGTCTCAGTTTCCTTAATGTGTCAGAGAATCTGAAGTGTTGTTATCAGGCGAGTTCTGAGACTTGCTTTTTATCTTAAACCAAGTGTCCCTATCTAAGGACGTCGTTTTGGAAGCATTAGAAGTTTCATACTAATTTTGTCAAACACCTATTTGTGTTTATTTCTGTAGATAGAACTGTAGAAACAGTTGCGTTAAGTAAAATCTTTGTGGTTTGAGCACTATTGTTGCTTTTTTGGTGAATCTAGGCTCCAAGTCCTGCTCTATCCTTTTTCTTTAGAAAACTGAGACCAAGGGTACAGTTTTTTGAAAGGAAAAATAGTAAATTTTCAGGTAGCTGTAGTTTTTAAGGTAAAAACAATTGTTAGGGATGCATACATACCGCTTGTGAAATAACTGAATAACAAGAGAAGCTCCATTGGCAACAATTACAGTGTCATGATTCTCTTTCTTCCTTCATTTGTTCTTTTCTGTTCAAGAGTTCTTTGGAAATTGCTTTACTCCTTTCAGCTGGGTTGAGTTTTTACATTGGGCAACTCTCATAACTTTTATCACTAGTTTTTGCATTGATTTGCATGGGTCCTGAACCCAAGGCACCGGTATCCATCTGTGCTGTTTCTGACCCACTGAATTCACCTAAAAATTCTAAGTGCTAACATGGTGTTGCCTTGGGTTTTGGTTAAGTAAAGCGTCTCTGGTTTAGAGGATTGGTAATAACACAGTATCCTGAGCTGCAGACTTTCTATCTTACTGGTTTTATTTTTAAAATGGCTAGGATTGGGTACCAGTGAGGACCAGTAGGTCAATAGCTGCATCGCCAGACAGATCAGGGGCTTCATGTGGACCAGAGGGATGTGTTGAAGAAAAAGTTCTAATGGCATTTGCTGAAAATCACTTTACAGTGGGAGATGGAAGACAAAAAATGTTTTAAATGACAGAAAAAAAAGATCATCTCATTTGTTGTTCAGAATGGGAGCCTGCATGAGGTCTAGAAGCATAAACTACCCCTAGTCGTGACCGTCGAAAGCTGTTTTACTGCTCTGCGTTCCAGTTTGAATAGTTTGTATTGGAACTTGATTCATATCTTGTGTCTGTTTTGGTGCATAAAAGAGAAGAGTTGGTGTTTTTACTTTTGAAATTGCAGGACAAAAGGGCATGTCATTGATTTGCTGTAAGATTATATTCTGTATATATGTTTTCATGTAAATAAATGAAAATCTATATCAGAGTTATATTTTAATTTTTATTCTAAATGAAAAAACCCCTTTTTACTTGAAAAAATTGTAAGCCACATTGTTAATAAAGTAAGAATAAATTCTATGGTTTTGTTTGTGTCTTTATGTGGAAAGTTATTAAATATTATTTTTAAGGTTTGGGTTAAGATTATCTCTTGTTTTATTTCCCACTATGCACTGAAGCAAATGTTTATAGGGTTTTAGTAACTGTGGCTCTCAAAATCCTATGTTACTTTTCAAGGTCACCTGCTTGTTCTGGATATTTTTACTCAGGATCTTGTGTTTATTCTTTTTATTAAAACATTATATCCTCACACAGTCGCCTCCAGCCTTCCCATTTTCCATTGTTTCAGTTATTTTATGATCACCTTGTGCGTTAGTAGGAACACTGATTTATGGCCAGGAGAGTGATAAGTAAACAGCTGTGTTTAAATTTTTCACTGCCCTTCAGTGACACAAATAGGTATAAACATCCAAGTTGGAAGAGGAGGAGATTTTTGCGTAGATCCTGGGGTCCCTGTCT